AGAGAAGGAAGGTATAGAGAGATGAGAAACTGAGTAATGAAGAAAGACAAAAATGGAAAAAGAGGGAAAAGAAAACAAATTGAAACAACAAAAAAAGAAGCAAAACCCCCCAAAAAACAGAAAAAAAAAGAAAAAAAAAAACCCATGAGAAAAGAAATGCTCTCTGGGCTCCCTCTGCACGTCTGCACAAGCTGAGGGGGTAGGTCCCAAGCCGCGCAGCACCCCCCGGCCAGAACAGGCTCCCAACTTGAGAAAAGAAAAAGAAAACAAATAATTGAAAACGAACAAACAATAAAAAGCCCCGGGATCCCACCAGCGTTGCAGCATGGACTTGCAGGCAGTTCCACACTTGAACGGAGCTCCACAGCCCCTCAGGAAGAAGCAAAGATGGCACACGGAGACAGGTATTTGAGCAAAAGGAGGGGGAGGTGGTGAGAGGTAAGGAAGAAATCAAAAGAAGCAGAAAAAAGCAACACCAGCAGCCAACAAATGGCACTCAGGGAATCGGCCAGTGCGGGCGGGTGGAATCCAAGCAGCCTGTGCTTCTCGGCCAAGAGACTGTGGCCTCAGGAAGCAGAGGAGGCCGAGTGGGGGTGAAGAAGGGTGGGGGGTGGGAAAGCATATATCGCTGTTTACCGGTTGTTCTGTCTCCTACTGGAAGCTCCGTGAAGCTGCCTTCTCGTACCCACTATTTGCTGGTCTCTGATAGGAGTCCAAGATGGCAGATCCATGCTGCATTAGCTGATAGGGGACATCTCCATGTATGTCTCCTCCCTCTCTGTTCTCTATCAGTTTCTTATTCCATTTGGTGCTTGGCTGAGTTCTCTCTTCATTTGATGTTTAGGATTTCAGGATTGCTGTTTTCTCTGTCTGGCTTAGTTTTTCAGATCTCTGCTGTGGAGGGATGGCGTGGTGCTTCTGCCTAGAGCACCATGTTGCCGGAAGTCCCTTCATTCTGCAAGTTTTAATGCTCATTTGCAGGCACAGCCAACTACTTCATGACTGCCACCTGGCCAGCCGTGGTTGTGAGATGCATTTTGATAGCAAAGTTGTTAAAATGTGAAATGTTGTTGTTAGGTGCTGTCGAATTGGTTCCAACTCATAAGACCCCATGTACAACAAAAATGAAACACTGCCTGGTCCTGCGCCATCCTCACAATCACTGCTATGTTTGAGCCCACTGTTGCAGCCATTGTATCAATCCATCTCATTGAGGGTTTTCCTCTTTTTCGCTAACCCTCTACCTTACCAAGCATGATGTCCTTTAGGGACTGGTCCCTCCTTATAACATGTCCAAAGTATGTGAGACAAACTTCCCTTGCTTCCAAGGAGCTTCCTGGCTGTACTTCTTCCAAGACAGATTTTTTCATTTTTCTGGCAGTCCATGGTGTATTAAACATTCTTTGTCAATACTATAATTCAAAGGCGTCAATTCTTGTTTGGTCTTCTTATTCACTGTCTAGCTTTCACATACTTATGAGGTGATTGAAAATACCATGGCATGGGTCAGGCACACCTTAGTCCTCAAAGCGACATCTTTGCTTTTCAACACTTTAAAGAGGTCTTTTGCAGTAGATTTGACCAATGTAATACGTTGTTTGATTTCTTGACTGCTGTTTCCATCAGCCCTGATTGTGGATCCAAGTAAATGAAATCCTTGACAACTTCAATCTTTTCTCCATTTATCATGATGTTACTTATTGGTCCAGGTGTTAGCATTTTTGTTCTCTTCATGTTGCGAGATAATCCATACTGAAGGCTATGTACTCTTTGATCTTCATCAGTAAGTGCTTTAAGTAGGCAAGGTTGTATCATCTGCATATAGCAGGTTGTTAATGAGTCTTCCTCCAATTCTGACGCCTCGTTCTTTTTCATATAGTACAGCCTCTCGAATTATTTGCTCAGCATACAGACTGAATAAGTATGATGAAAGGTTACAACCCTGACGTACACCCTTCCCAAATAGATTTCCAAAATAAAAGTTTCATTTTTTTTAACGTAAAAAAATGTGCATAAAACTCTGAGGTAATTCATCATCACTGTCACATAGTCCTAAAAATATGACAATGATATGAAAAACAATATAAGAAAGCATATACTTTAGATTATTTTTCCAGTGGCAATGATGGGACTATATAAGATCAGTCATATTCCTGCCTTGTCCTTTTTTGTTGTCAATAGATTGTCCATGCAAAACATGTGGCTAGTGTTACAAATGTAATCTAACACATGAAGAATGCCCGGTAAAATGATGTTCAATAAATATTCTTGAATGAATGAGCAAAGTCCGGTAAAAAAATAACTGACCCATAACTGGAAAGAATCTAGGCCTCTAGATCAGCGCTCAAGCTTTAACACCCATTTGAATCACTCAGAGAACCTGTTAAAACAGAGTGTTGGGCCCCACCCCAGAGTTTCTGACTCAGTAGGTCTGAGGTGAAGTCCAAGAATTTGTATTTCTAGTAAGTTCCCAGGCGATGCTGATACTGCTGGTCGTGCACCACACTTTGAGAACCATTGCTCTAGATTAAAGGAAATTAGGCATAGATAAGAAAATAAAAAGATTAGTAACCAGGTATAGTTTTAATACATGAAATTAGATATATAAGAACCGCTAGACCCTGCTAACACTGAAGGCCAACAGAAATAATATTTCATTTTTTAAGCCATTTTTTAAGAACATAGTGATTCTAGACTGGATTTACATCAAATGTATAAAGGAATTTCAATTTTTTTTTATATATCATGTTTATCATGTCTGAATGATCACAAATTACACTTTACCAAAGCTCAATGTGGTAAAGTTTTACTGTGGACAAGAATTAGACTAGCTCCATCCACATCCCACCACCAGGCCTATATATATACCCCTAAAATTTATATGACAAATGACTTACTTATATACAAAGTCTACAGAAATCTAAATTTGGTTTAACCATGTTGTTGTTTGTTGCTAATTGCCACCAAGTCGATTCAGACTCATGGCAACCCATATGTGCAGAGCAGAACTGCTCCACAGGGTTTCAAGGTTGTAACCTTTCAGAAGCACATCACCAGGCCTGACTTCTGAGATGCCTCTGGGTGGGTTCAAACTGCCAACCTTTCAGCTAGTAGCCGAGCACTTAACCACAGCATCATTTTCTCTCTTCATTTTAACCTTACAAACTACTGTCTGGAAGGTTCTTTTACTCATTAAGAATGCTAAAATGATACTCCATAGCCCAGCATCAAGCTCAATAAAGCATGAAAACATACTGAGGGAAGTGGTGAAAATGTCGATCTTTTAAGTAATTAAAACAGAACTAAAGCCACTGGCCAAATCTGGAAAAATCTGAGCATTAAAATGAGTGACAAGAATGCATGGTAACATACTGAATAAAAAAAAGTCCATGAATCCATACCGATACTTAAATACCGTATTTTTATGCAAATAACACGTGCCTTCTATGTTTGCCTGCCAGTTGCACTCTCCTCCTGTATTTTCAGAAGTGCCGCTATGCTAATTTTTTTTACACAGTATGAAAGACTACTGGGAAACAGGATAGTCTCAGACTATCACTCCATAGATTTCTTATTTCTTACAAAGGGGAAAAGCTATTTTTACAGTGGAGACATATGTCCGTCACCACTTTAACCAAATGATCAAATTTAACATGGCGAGCCTTCATCTCACATGCTTTGGATATGTTATCAAGAGGGGCCAGTCCCTGGAGAAGGACATCATGCTTGGTAAAACAGAGGGTCAGCGAAAAAGAGGAAGACCCTTGATGAGATGAATTGACACAGAGGCTACAACAATGGGCTCAAACACAGCAAGGATTGTGAAGATGGTACAAGACTGGGCAGTTTTGTTTTGTTGTACATAGAGTTGGAACTGTTATGAGTCAGAACAGATTCAACGGCACCTAACAACAACAATAATGGGATATGGGGGTCTTCCATGTATGTCAGAAACCCAGGTTTTATTCCTGGGCAATGCACCTCATGTGCAGCCACCATCCATATGTCACTGGAGGCTTCTGTGTTGCTATGATGCTCAGCAGGTTTCAGTGGAGCTTCCAGACTAAGAAAAACTAGGAAGACAGGCCTGGAGATCTACTTCTGAAAACCAGCTAATGAAAATCCTATGGATCACAATGATTTAATCCGCAACCAATCATAGCAATGGTGCAGGACTGCATAGCATTTCATTCTGTTGTGCACTGGGTCACCATAAGTCAGGGGCCAACCTGACCACAGCTAACAACAACCACAATAATGGGATATACTGATAACACGTGCCCCCTGATGTGACGTATTGAGGGGAAAAAAATCATCTATGTAGTATTTCTGCCAAAATGTTTAACTTGGACCTAATCATGAGAAAACAACTAGACAAATATAAATTGAGGAACATCTATAACACAACTGACCTGGGCTCTACAAAAATGTGGTAAAAGACTCGGGAACTAGTCTACATTAAAGGAGACTAAAAAGACATAACAAAGTAAATGCAATGCATGTTTCTTGATTGGATTCCAGATTAAAAAAAAAAAAAAAAACTACATAGAAAATTATTGGGACAACCGGATAAATCTGAATTAAGTCTGTATCTTAGATAATAATATTAACAATGTTAAATTTGCTGAGTGTGATAATTGCATTGTGGTCATGTAGGAGACTGCCATTTTTCTTTGGAGATGAATGCTGTGGTATTTTTAAGGGTAAAGTGTCATGATGTCTGCAACTATTAAATAATTCAGAAAAAATGTGTGTAGAAAGAAAGATGAAATGAATGTGGCCAAAATGTTAACAGTTGGTGGATCTAGGTGAAGCATATATGGGCTGGTTAAATGTACTACTACTGGAAATTTTATATAGTGAATTTTTCAATATAAAAAGTTGTGAGGGAGAGAGTAAAACTAAAGACATGGAAATACCATAGATTTAAATCATTTAAATCTAAAACACTGAAGAGGGTCCTTTTGAGGGACACCTAGCCACCAGGCTTCCTCCTTTACCTGCTGTATTCAAACATCGATGAAGAGGGGCTAACACTGGTTGAAGTAAATACTTTGCTGCCAACTGTGGGCGTTCCCCTGACATAGTAATAAATGTAGTGGTAGCAACTCTCTGAAATTGTCGCGCTGTCAATTTATCTTGAAGGTGAAATAAATCCAGAATCTAAAAGAAAAATTACAGGAAGTAAATTCAGGCCCTTTGCTAGAAGCATTACATTAAGTAGAAAGAGAAAGCATTAATTTCTTTAAGCCAAAAAAAAAGCACATTGAAATAATACTGATTAAACAGAATTGTTTTTTTAAATTTAACAACCCAGTCTCAAAGGGTGTGAGAACCGAAGGGGCTATGTTTTTAATAAATAATTTTATCAAATTTATAAAATACATACTCAATGTAGAAAATAAAGTATTGAGAAGAAAATTAAAAACCTTCCCCAAAACGCTATAAACATTTTTGGTATATTCTTTCCAGTACATTTTCTGTATAATTTTTCTTTTTAATTGAGATCACACTTAATACGTAGTTTTACATATTGCTGAAATCTCATGTTATAAATTCCTCAAAAATATTATATTCAAGTTGTATGTCATAATTCACTAAATTATTCCCTTATTTCCAGACATTCAGGTTTTTTCCCTAATTTTTGCTATTATAAATAGTCCCGCCACATGAAATTACTGGGTCAAAGCATAGAAATATTTTAGGGTCTGAAGAGCCTATTGTATCTGAGCAATCCCAAACAAGAATCTGTCTTACTCTTACAAATAAACATTTATCCCCAGTGCGTAAGAGTGGGTTTTTCCCAATATTAGCAATCAATGGAAAATTCATTTCTGGTTCCTGATTTAAAAGTGACTCCTGTTGTAGGCAGGAGAATCTTCTGTCTGCAAACTATACATGGCCTCTGACACTGCCAAAGAGAGACTCGGCAGGCCTGAAACCTGTGGTTTGATTTTATCATTTTGTTAAGTACCTAAACTACCACTACTAATTTAAAAAAAAATTCACTCATCATTGCAAGTGACAACTTTGTTCTGTAAGATAAGTAATTTATACTCAGTACTTTTCAATATGAGATCTTTGCATCGTGATACTTTGTTTCCATGCATGCCCACCCATAAGAACCCTGAAGATCAGTGTAACAACTCAGTGATCTTCTTCAAACTGCAATCCAAAAGGCAAAAGGCATGTCTTACATCCAAATTCATAGGGAGATTTGATTAAGAAAATGCCTTCCTAACTTTTCACCTATCTAATTAAGTAAAGATCAAAAAGTTTTGTAACACCTTGTAGGCAAACATGCAGGGCAACAGATACATAATATCAATCAAAATTTTAAATGCACATACATCAGTAATTCCAATTCTAGGAATTTTTCTTATGGCGACACTAGCATGTATGCACAAAGACGGATATTAACCATACATGGTGTGTAACAGCAAAAGAATACAAACAACTCAAATGTCCATCAATAGCAGGCTGATTAAATCAGTTATGGTATACTGACATGATGAAATACTATGTTCCCATTAAAAGAATGAGGCAGCTCTATATGAAATAATTCTATATGAAACGGTCTCCGAGGAACAATGTTCAGTGAAAAAAAAAAAAAAGAAAAACCGTGCGTGTAGCATGTTACCATCTGATAAAAATTAGAACATATATACCACATACATACAATATAAACATATTCTTATATACGCATAATACATGGAATATCTCAGGAAAGATAAATAAGAAATTGGTAACAATAACTACCTCTGACTGACTAGGGGACAGGGATAGCAGGGAAACTTACTTTTCAGTTTATTTTTTTGCACTTTTTAAATCGTGGATCATGTGAATTTACCTTGTTCATTTAATACCTATTATGAAAAACTAATTAAAAACACAGAGAGAAAATATAATCAACAGGATGAAACTTTAGTTTCATATTCTAGCCCTGACAGCAAGCCAGGCTAGTCATTTAACAATGGTAAGGCACAAATTTTCTGGAGCCATGGAGGCTGGATGAACCCCTGAAACCATTGCCCTGAGATAACGTTTAAACCTTAAACCAAAAATATTCCCTGAAGTCTTCTTAAAACCAAACAATAGTTTAGCTTAACTAGTAAAGAATGTCTGCCTTGAGCATTATGGTCTTTTAAAAACAATCTATATGGTATCAAATTGACAAGGCCACCTGGAAAAATTATATAGGAACCTTAGGGGTCAGTGAGTTTATGTTAATGGGGGAGGAACAACTCAGAAAAGGAGGGTGAGAATGGCTGCACAACTCTAAGAATGTAATCAGTGTCACTGAATTGCATATGTAGAAACTGTTGATGTATATTTTTCTGTGTATATTCTCAACAACAAAATAAATAAAAATTAAAAAAAAAAATTGTGAGGCATTCTGAAACCTAACAATTAGGTCAATCTCATCCACAGATTTTTACTCACTTACAATACTGCTTTTACCTCAATATTAGAGGAACGTTAAAAGTCTTCTTTCTGACAATGCTCTACATTCTACCTGGGTGAGTAGTGTCTGGGGTCTTAAAAGCCTGTGAGCGGCCATCTAAGATACTCCACTGGTCTCATCCCTTCGGGAGCAAGGGAGAATGAAGAGAACAGGATACAAGGAAAAGATTAGTCCAAAGGACTAATTGTCCACAGCTACCAAGGCCTCCACCGGACTGAGTCCAGTACAGCTAGATGGTGCCCGGCTATCACCACTGACTGCTCTGACCAAGATCACAACAGAGGGTTCTGGGCAGAGCTGGAGAAGGAAGTACAACATAATTCTAACTCACAAAAAAAGACCAGATTTACTGGCCTAAAGGAGACTGGAGAAACCTCAAGAGTATGGCCCCCAGACACCCTTTTAGCTCAGTGGTGAAGTTACCTCCGAGGTTCACCGTTCAGCCTGGGAGTGGACAGCCCCGTAAAACCAAATGAGACTAACGAGGTACAAGAGTCCAGTAACAAGGGCCAGAAGGCAGAAGGGGACAAGGAAGCTGGTGATAGGGAACCCAAGGTTGAGTAAGGATATTGTTGATGTGTTGTGAGATTGTTAACCATTGTCATAGGGCAACATTTGTAGTAACTGTTAAATGAGAAACTATTTTGCTCTGTAAGCCTTCACCTTATGTGAGAACAACAGCACAATTGGAAGAGCGTAGTCAATGTCACTGAACTGTGTATGTAGGAATTTTTGAAACAGTGTATCTTTGGCTATGTGTATTTTCACCAAAAAGAAAAAAAAAAGGTTGAGAATTTAGAGGATTAATATGTTGTGGGGTTGTTAACCAATGTCATAAAACAACACGTGTACTACTGTTTCATGAGAAACTATTTGTTCTGTAAGCCTTCACCTGAAGTACAATAAAATATTTAAAAACAAAAAGTCTTCTTTCTGACTAAATGGGCACACGAGCCCAGGGGCAAGGATGAGAAGGCAGGAGGGGACAGGAAAGCTGGTAATGGGGAACCCAAGGTCGAGAAGGGGAGAGTGTTGACATATCGTGGGGTTGGCAACCAATGTCACAAAACAATACGTGTATTAATTGTTAATGAGAAACTAGTTTGCTCTGTAACCCTTGATGTAAAGTACAAACATATATATATAATTAAACCTACTTAAAAAAAAGTCCTCTTTCTGTAAATAAGCAGATAATCCTCAAAAGAAATAAAATTATTTACCTGGGGGCAGATATCCTTATAGTAACTCTCTGGTGAAAGAGACTGCTGGGGACAAGAGGCCAAAATCTTTGCAATCAAGTCACACTTCTTCCAGTCAGCAGCCATCACCTCAGCATCACTTCCACCAGCTGCCCCAGCTGTCAGCAATGGATACAGATGTCAAAAACTCATGACAGTTCCCCACATAAAGTTCCATGTGATAAATGACCCTTAAAATTTAGGCCCAAATGCTTTTTTCACTACAAAAAATTTTTTGTTTCTTCTATAAGACAGTCTACCCTTCTGTAATTTCCTGTGATCCTGGTTTCTAGGATACTCAGTAAAAAGTGATTAAAGCGCCCACCGCTAACCAAAAGGTCAGCAGTTCAAACCCACCAGCTGCTCCCTGGAAGAAAGATGTGGCAGTGTGCTCCTGTAAAGATTACTGCCTTGGAAACCCTGTGGGGCAGTTCCACTCTGTCCTACATGGTCGCTATGAGTCGGAATTGATTTGACGGCAACAAGTTCAGGCAATCGTAATGATATTATTCATATGACTTGGACACAAGCTTCTTCTCAGTGTTTAATATTTTTATTATTATTATTATTGTACTGCCTCTTTATATGTATCATTTTATTTAAACTGCCTTAGACTACAGCTATGATGGCGTAACAGGGACTATATTACCTTACCATCTTAAAAATTAAAACCCTGCACTTTGGAGATTGATTTGGCGCTTCCTTAAACAGCTAGAAATAGAAGTACCATATGATCCAGCAATCCCACTCCTTGGAATATATCCTAGAGAAATAAAATAGATATATGCACACCCATGTTCACTGCAGCACTGTTTACAATAGTAAAAAGATGGAAACAACCTAGGTGCCTATTAACGGATGAATAGATAAACAAATTATGGTATATTCACACAATGGAATACTACTCTATGATACAGAAAAATGATGAATCCGTGAAGTATCTCATAACATGGATGCATCTGGAAGGCATTATGCTGAGTGAAATTAATCAGTCGCAAAAGGACAAATATTATATGAGAACACTATTATAAGAACTCAAGACAAGGTTTAAACACAGAAAAAAACATTCTTTGATGGTTATGAGGGTGGGGAGGGAGAGAGTGGGGTATTCACTAACTAGACAGTACAGACAAGAATTATCTTAGGTGAAGGGAAGGACAACACGCAATACACGGGAAGTCAGCAAAACTGGACTAAACCAAAAGCTAAGAAGTTTCCTGGACACAACTAAACACTTCAAGGGACAGTGTAGCAGGGGCAGGGGTCTGGGGACCATGGTTTCAGGGGACATCTAGGTCTACGGGCATAACAAAGTTTATTAAGAAAATGTTCTGCATCCTACTTTGGTGAGTAGTGTCTGGGGTCTTAAAAGCTAGCAAGCGGCCATCTAAGATGCATCAATTAGGCCCCAACCCACCTGGAGCAAAGGAGAATAAAGAACACCAAAGCCACAAGGAAAATATTAGCCCAAGAGACAAAAAGGGCCACATAAACCAGAGACTCCATCAGCCTGAGACCAGAAGAACTAGATGGTGCCTGGCTACCACCAATGACCACCCTGACCGGGAACACAACAGAGCAGGAGAAAAGTGGGGTGTCGAACTCAAATTCTAGTAAAAAGACAAGGCTTAGTGGTCTGACCGAGACTGAAGGAAGCCCAGAAGACATGGCCCCTGGACTCTCTGTTAACCCAGAACTAAAACCACTCCCTAAGCCAATTCTTCAGACAAAGACTAGACTGGGCTATAAGATGTAAAATGACACTTGTGAAGAGTGTGCTTCTTAGTTCAAGTAGATACACGAGACTAAATGGGTAGCTCCTGTCTGGAGGCGAGATGAGAAAGGGATAGGAGCTGCTTGAATGGACACAGGAAATCCGGGGTGGAAAGGAGGAGTGTGCTGTCACATTACAGGGGTAGCAACCAAGGTCACATAACAATGTGTGTATAAATTTTTGTATGAGAAACTAACTTGAGCTGTAAACTTTCACCTAAGGCACAATTAAAAAAAAATTAAAACCCTGGACAAAATATATGAACAATGGTTTTCAGACACTGAACAGGCAGCCCAGGACACTGATCCCTGAAAGAAGAGAAACAAACAAGATGAGCCCCATGATTGCCCTAGCTTGCCACCTAGAGGGAGTTTCCAGGCCTCAGCACTGTGAAGGGGAACCTAAATGAAGCCTGACATCTCACTGAGTCAAAGAAGCAGAGTTCAGAGTTCATGGAGGCCAAGGTGGCTGAAACTTTCAGGGCAAAACACTAGAGAGGTGAGAGCTGCACAGATACAGAGCTCTGGAAACCTGCAGGGGGTCCTCTTTTAAGTCTTTGGTAGAGTATACTCTGTGTACATGTGTGAGAAAAATACCCAAAGCCGGGGCAAGAATCACCAAAGAGGAGTAGGTGGAACAATCCCTAGAGCTCACACAGGTTTGGGAAGAGTTTGTGCTTCCACTAGCCAGCCTTCTAATACACACAGGGCATCAAGTAGAATCCTCAGAGGGTACTGCCTTAGTATTGGGGCCAAATTACCTTCATGGCAGATAAGACACTACAGAAGAAAAGATTAGTGAAGACACAGAAATATAAAAATTATTCAAATGAAACATAGACAGAAAAAGACTGAAAAAGATGATATGGTAGGACAATATTAAGTGTAACATTAGGTGTAATTCAAATCCCTGTAAGAGAGGAGAGAACAAAGAACAGAAAAAATATTTAAAGATAATGGTTGAAATTTTCCCAAATTTGATAAAAACCACAGCTCCAAGAGGCTCAAGAAATCCTAAGCAGAAGAAACCTGAAGAAAACCACACCAAGGCATATCATAATTAAATTTCTAAAAACCACTGATAAAGAAAAAAATCTTAAAAGTACCCAGAGAAATAAAGGCAGAAGAACAAAAATAAAAATGACAGATGTCTTTTCATTAGAAACCATGCAAGCCATAAGACAATGGAGCAAGATCTTTAAAATACTGAAAGAAAAAAACTGTCAACCTAGAATTCTGTACCCAGCAAAAATATCTTTCAAAAAGGAGAGAGGCATAAACTGTTGCAAACAAAAGCTAAGAGAATCTACTGCCAGCAGTCCTATACTGTAAGAAAGGTTAAAAAAAAGTTCTTCAAGCAGAAAGAAATTTGGATCGAAATTGGGATCCAGACAAAGAAATGAAAAGGACCAGAAATGGCAAATATATTGGTAAATGTAAATTTTAATTTAAAAAATTCAGACCATTTTTGAAAAGAAATAAGATGTGGATAAATAACAAATGCCCTCAGAATAAAGTTCAAAATGCTAAATTAGGCTTGTAAGGCCTCCATAATATGGCCTCTGCCCACCTCTCCACTCTCATCTTACACCACTTTCTTTCCACTCT